TCTAAATACCACCTTTTTAAACGGTAACTGTAACGGAATACAGTTACTCATATTTTGTATTTTAAATACGTAACGGCGGTACATGTATACCGTTACTCCCCAACACTGGCAGTAGGAACAGTAAACGTTGCAGACACTATAATGCATCAGCCAGCAAGAGCTGATGTAGACGTGAGAAAGAGCAACCTCTAGTTTTACATGCATTAAAAAATAATCAAGTTCACCTCTGATCCATAAAAATTCAATGTATAACCAAGAAATTGCAGTCTGTACCTACACCAGCATAGGCCTGTTCCTTTACTAGCACAAAGCCATCACACTACATGTTTACTGTACAGTACTATCAACATGACCTTTACCCCCTATTGCCTTCATTTACTTTTCCACCGTTCTGTGTTTATGCTAGGTGTGTACACAGGTAGACATGTAAGGAAGGTAAATTCTCATCAAGGGATTGTTACTATTATTTTTTAAATAACTACACTCCAGCCTCACTTTCAGACTGCCACAGCCTGAACTCTCTGCTTGTTTGGTATGACCAGTTAGCTCCCCCCTTGGACAGCTCATCAGCAACATTTAGTATCAGGGCTCAGTGGAAAGCCTTTGATCGTCCTGCCAGCTCCCCTCATTACAGAACGAGAGTGGGCTAAGAGCATATGTCTTGGCCCAGCAAGGTCATTACCCTTGGCACTTCTAAAAGAGACACAATCTGAATTTAATGGTGTCGTAATAAGATGTGAGGGCAGGGAAAACTACTCTTCAGGTTGGTGAACATCCTCCGGTCTGAATAGAAATAAACAGAATTCCCACTCACAGGGTCTTTAGTAGTGATCTTGTTGGCTTGTAAAAAATAAATTCATTTGACGAGGTGTGAAAACTCGGGTATAAAATTGAGTATATTTGGATAATAAATACTAAATTTCAAACATATTTCACTGAAACAAAACGGCTTGACTGCTATCTGAATGTTTACCCATCCAAAAGCCAATAAGGTGACAGATTTTCACATCTTGCCAAGAGCCTGAATACTACTACTACTACAACGAATAATAGGAGCTTAGAGCTAAGATTGGTGTTTTGGGTATATTTAATTCTTTATCACTCAAGTTTTATTGTTTTATTACTTCTGAGTGTTCTACAAACATAAACCTTGTTCATTAAAAACAAAAAATGTATTAAAAAATAGTATTATACTTATTATAATCCTTCATGTCGGGCACACAATACACAGCTCTGGGCAGAGAAGAAAGTGCCCTTTTTCTCAGTACAAAAACTCAAATTTCCTGTATGTTTTATGTGTTTGTATATCTCCAAGACACTATATTTAGTGTTCTGATTAATGTTATCATTACATTCCAATCTGCATTCCCTCCATTTATTTTTAACAAGTAGAATGCAACATTGAGTATCATGGTTCAGGGCAGCGCGTTTGATCTGTCTGCCAACTTGCACTTTGGATCTGCCCTGCAACAGCCCTGCATGCTCTCTGGTGTTTGGTAGCCAAGCCTGACTCAGAGATACTGGTGTAGGGTTTCGTTGCTTTCTTGTGTGTATCTGTGTAAGTGTGTGTGTGTGTGTGTGTGTGTGTGTGCTGCCTGTGTGACAGACAGAGGTGCAACAGTCTTGCAATAATTTGTAGATACTGAACAGTAATGAAAGCATCTTCCGTGCTATACTGCATGAATCAGCTCACAGTGATTTTGATGCTTTACAGTGACCACTAAAAATACAACAGTCTGCTGTTTGACTGTTTCTAAAGCACAACTGAACCCAAATGATAGAAAGGTGTGCCTTCACCTCTTTGACTAAAAAGCTTAGTGTTGCATTTCAATCACAGTGGCCGCTTGAGTAATTTCTTTAGATGTTAGAGAACCATGCCAGGAATCAGTCATAGATTTTCTAAATTTAACCAAGATAACTGAGATCTTTGTGTTTTGTTGTTTGATCTACAGAGTTTAATTTTTTTAAAGTCTGGCTCATAGTAAGAAGATATATGATCTCTGCAAGTGTCAGTTCAAGACATGACATGAAATACCTTATGAGGGATAGATGGTAAAAACAGAAAAACAAGACAAGATCAATAGATCACCAGACAGCCTCCCTAACTCTGTCTGCACACACCGATTCTGTGCACTGCAGTCCTTACTTTTAAATGAAGGACAACTTTACTTCCCCCCCCAAGAAAAAAGGGGGTAACAAGCCAGGTTTTTA